AAAGGCTCAAATTGGAGAACACTTCTATTAAAATAAAGGGCAGGATCATGCCCAATCCAGGGTGCCATGTCTGTAACAATGCTGGGTATTTGATCAATTCAAACCGAACAAATGTGCTATATGTGAACTTTGGGATTTCTAGTAGGAGGGACCCAAACTATTTATATCCTAATCAATTATGATCAAATCCGTTTGCATGCTGGTCTGTGCCTCCTCCGGCACCCCCCAAAAAATCCAAAGCTGCTTTACCCATGAAATCCAAAACGAAAAGGTCTCCAATTAAGAAAACATTTTTTGTTGTGCTGAATTCATGTTACCGTACGGTGAGCTCTGACATTTTGTTTCTGTGGTAACCAAAATCAGCTGATTAGTTGGCATGGCAACAGAAAAGATGTAATCCCGGCAGACACACTCTAATCAATGCCCCCAGCACAGATGGTCTCTGGAGGATCAACAAGAAAGAGGCTGGCAGGCATTCAGGAGATCACGTGCCAACGCCAGACTAGGCCAGGGAGGGGAGGAAAGACAACTCAAAAAAGAACATTTTTCAAACTAACCAGTAGCTTTTTAACCCATTCCTCGTCTCGGTTAATTGTCAAACAGCCTGCAACTCCTAGGGCTGGCATGGGGAGAAACCTGACTTTATTTCAACTTTGTTGCACAGAAGTAATACATTTTTCCATCTTTAGTGGTAAGGGTTTGTATAGCTGCCAAAACCCGCAGTCGATATACGGCGTGCATCAGTGCATAAATGTAAGGCTTTTCTTTACTTTTTCTTAGGCACAGCCATGGAGATTGGACCTTGGAGCTGTGTTAGAGAATGAGTCACACACTGCCGAATGCTCAGGACTGCATATATCTTTGGCCATGCATACAGAATATTATTGCAGTTTCAGCTCATGATAAACTGTAGGCACATTAATCTAGGAAGGAAAAAACAAGGAATGGGGAATATTAAATTAAGACTAGTTTTCTCGTCCCTGGCTAATGTGTCCCATTGTAGGCTAAAAGGAATAAATAAATAAATAAATAAATAAACAAACAAATTTTATTTGTATACGGCCCTATTGCCCCAAACAGACTCAGGGCAGTTTCCAATATATAAGGCAAAACAGTCAATTGCCAATAAAAATATCATACAAACAGATTAAAATAAAAGAACCATTTTTGCAAAAACCCTACCAAAACACAACAAGAAAAATGTCAATCAATTGCAATTATAACTGTTGTTTTTCAAGATGAGGGCAGAGATTCCTTCTCCCAATGTCAATTCTCATCTTACTTTTCTTTCTGGCAAATAGGCTTTTCAATTATTATTATTATTATTATCAATATTATTATTAGAAACACAAAAAGATGAGTCAACAGCAAAGAAGGCCACTCTGCTGGCTGTCGTATTGGATCACACGTAGGATACCTCCCAAGTGTCTAGGACTATGTGATGTATCAGAGAATAATGTGTGTGGATCCCAGTAAGGTGGCCTTGTCTCCTGTGCTATTCTAATAATATAATATAATATAATATATATTGTATAAACATATAATATTTATAATATTATAATGTAATGCAATATAATACTAATAATAACATGATATTATAATTATATATTTATATTACATGTAATATTACTAATAATATTACAATATAATTGGTACAGTACAATATAGCAATATTTAAAACTGATATTGTACTATGCTAATAACATAATATATTGTATGTATATATACCTTGTAAGCCGCTCTGAGTCCCCTTCGGGGTGAGAAGGGCGGCATATAAATGTCGTAAATAAATAAATAAATAAATAAATAATGTGTGTAGATCCCAGTAAGGTGGCCTTTTGCAGCTGGCAGATGGTAATTTTGTCAGGCCAAGGTCTTTAGGCACTGCTCCCAGTGTGCCGATCACCACTGAGACCACTTTGACTGGCTTGTGCCAGAGTTTTTGCAGTTTGATCTTATAGTTGAAATACTTTTTATTTTATTGAGATAGTATAGAATACATGCAGTTCGATCTTTAAATCTTCATATCGTGTCAGCTTTTCCAGTTGTTTCTCTTCAATTCTGCTGTCACCTGGGATTGCAACACCAGCAATCCAGACTTTGTTTTTTAACACGATCGTGAGGTCAGGAGTATTGTGCTCCAAAACTCTCTTCAATCCTGCTGTCTCATGGGATTGCAATATCAACAATCCATAATAATAATAATAATAATAATAATAATAATAATAATAATAATAATAATTTGAAACACAACAAGATGAATCCACAGCAGACAAGATCACTCTGCTGGTTGTTGTATTGGATCACACATCAGACACTTCCCAGGTGTCTAGGACTGTTTGATGTATCGGCGAATAATGTGTGCAGTTCCCAGTAAGGTGGCCTTTTGCAGCAGGCAGATGGTAATTTTGTCAGTGCCTGGCTTGTGCCAGAGTCTTTGCAGTTCGATCTTTAAATCTTCATATTGTGTCAGCTTTTCCAGTTGTTTCTCTTCAATTCTGCTGTCACCTAGGATTGCAACATCGGCAATCCAAACTTTGTTTTTTAACACAATCATGAGGTCAGGAGTATTGTGCTCCAAAACTCTGTCTGTCTGAATTTGGAAGTCCCAGAAGAGTTTGACATGCTCATTTTCTGTAACTTTTTCTGGCTTGTGGTCTCACCAGTTAGTTGTCGCAGGCAGATGGTATTTGTGGCACAAGTTCCAATTAATCATCTGAGCAACGAGGTTATGCCTCTGCTTTTAGTGTGTCTGTACGATCTTCTTGCAGCAGCTGAGGATGTGATCTATTGTTTCATCTGCTTCCTTGCAGATCTGTTGTGGACTTTTCAATTTTGGCTTTGATGGCATTGGTTCTAATAGCTTGTTCTTGGGCTGCTAGAATCAGGCCCTCTCTCTCCTTTTTCAAAGTTCAATTTGTGAGCCACAGCCATGTTTTTTCTTTGTCATTTTGGCTCTCAAATTTCCCCAGGAACTGTCCATGGAGAGCCTTCTTTCTATTATTATTATTATTATTATTATTATTATTATTTGGAATTTGTTTCACAAGTCTTCAACTGCTGTTTGATCAAGATGGTTCAGGTCCTATCTGACCGTATCTCCTCATACCAACCTGCCCAAACGTTAAGATCTTCTAGCGAGGCCCTCTTCTCATTGCTGCCATTGCAAATGTGGTTGGCAGAGATGAGAGAGAGGGCCTTCTTGGTGGCTGCTCCAACTCTTTGGAATTCCCTCTCCAAGGAGGTTAAAACAGCCCCTTCCCTGACATCTTTTAAAAAGCATCTAAAGACCTTCCTGTTCACACTTTTCGGGAAAACACTTTTGAGGAAAATATTTAGGGGGCTCACCTTCTCAAACTACATTTCTATGAAAAAGGATTGGTTTAAAAACACTTTAGGTTGTCTTGGCTTTACCACAGTTGTTTAAATGCTTATACTGAAAATTAAACTGACCTTGGGAGGTATCTGAATGTTACAGAATCTTAACAAAAATTATTGGTGAGTGTTTCAGTTTCTAAATTTCCCACCACCTTTCTTGCATGTTTCTAATAATGATTCGTACGCATGAATTCAATGAATATAATCCGAAATACGAATTATGCACAACCATACTGTATATACTGAAAAATGAAAGATGAGTGAAAATTGGAGGACAATTTTTGGAAATGTTTTACACCCCCCGCCCAAAAGGTAATATGTCTGGATTTATACCTGTTCTGACTTACATACAAATTCAACTTAAGAACAAACCTACAGAACTTGTCTTGTTTGTAACTTGGGGACTGTCTGTAGTATGTAAGTACTTTCCCTTCTATTCAATAACAAAGGTATAATTATTTTGTATTATGGTTGTAATTTAACAATTGATAACTCTACTTCTTTTGTAACATAACTATAAGTTTCCTAGTTATAGGGTGTGTGACAGGAGAGGAATAACTGTACCTTTTGTTGTGGGTAATGAAGAGGCAGTGAGGTAGATGGGAAGAGAAGGTGTTTTATAGCACATACTAACAGCTTGTATAATTTAAGTTTGTTAATATTAAAAGCAATTAGTCCAGTTACTTTTAAAAATGGAAAGAGTTTATTTTGAAAAAAATGTAAATATAATGGTAGCTACCTCAAAGTCTCAGAAATATAAGTAACTACTTGAATTAGTTTAAAAGTAACTTTCCAAACTATGCTTGATTACTCTTAATCCTCATCATTCCCAGTGGATAATGCCTGGGCTTATGGACATTTGGACACTGTCAATACTCAGTATGCTTATTTCCTCACTTTTGATTTCTCTCTGCCTTGTGTAGTTCCTCAGTTCTACCAAGAGAACATCTCTATGACTGAAATAGGCCCCCATTAGACTGGTGTGGACTGCTTATCTAAGGATGAGACTTGGCTTGTATGTGTATAAAATTCCTATTCTTCCTCCTCCAAAAACAACAAGAGCAGAGTATTCTTCAAACCTGGTCTCTGTGCTATGTAACTTCTTATGTCATATACAATCTAGCGCTCCAGCTGGAGGTCAGCTGAGACCAGCAATGATGTAGAATTTGAAGAGGCACGAATGGAGGGTGAAAGAGAGAAACATGCCAAGAGGAAGGCATGTCAAGCCAACCCCGAGCGGGACCGCCTTCCACCTGGAAACCAATGCCCTCACTGCGGGAGAACATGCAGGTCAAGAATAGGGCTCCACAGTCACCCACGTACCCACTGCCAGTACACCGATCTTGGAAGACAATCCTACTTGGACAACGAGGGATCATCTTACTAACTAACTAAAATTTAGCACAAAGACTGAAGATGCAATCTGAGAAGTACATAAACCATGCAGCAGGGCTCTTCTCTTGGTGGTCAAGAATCTAATCATGCTATAAAACATTTTATAAAACTGAACGTTAAGATATATAGCAATCACTTTCATCATATGAAGGAAAATAATAGCTGCCATCTGAAAATAACATTGAAAAATCATCCATTGTGTGTTTCACATTAACTTTTTCTGTTACCTTTGTAAACATAGGCTTTCCGTGCTGAGTGACCATGGTGCATTGATCACAATCCACTGTGATGGAGGAGTTGTGGTATGATTCTTTTGAGTGCTTGAGGATGTAATACAGGTCTGTCACCCCTCCTTCAAAGACAGTGCTAAAATAACGAGGAATGAGGGTTCTTCCAATTGCTGTTGGGAGAATACAAAGCAAATGAGAAAATGCCGCTACAGATGTTCATTTATGAGCATACATTTCTAATATATACACTCCTAACGGTAGCATTAGAATAAATGTAACGTGGATTCCAATGACATCATTAAGAGACAGACTGTGCTTCTAATCTCTTAAGAAGGCATCATCTTTTCAAGAAAGAAATCAGACTTTTGGATGCTATTTTACACAATGGGGAAAGCCATTCTGTAGGGTGTTAGTAACCATCTTCAATCCCCCCCTCCTTGTTTTCTATTCCTTCCCTGAACAATATGACAACATTCTTTGAACACAGCACATGCTTAGACATAACTGGGCAGTTTTGGGGTCCTATTTCCTCTGCCCTTTCAGAGTTCCTCCAATTGTAACTATTTCCTTGTGCTACTCTGAGCCTTGCGATTCCCTTGAGTCTTCATCTTGTATGCAGATGATTGCTATGTTGAACACATAAGGATCCATGTTTGGAGAATGGATTTTTTTGAGAATGCATTTGTTGTGAATGTGTAGGACGTTGCAAATGTATCAGTGCATAGACAGGAGTAACCTGTTGCGCAGCAAGCGGATCTTAGCCACGTCCCATGCACAAGACTCACAGACAAGAGTAGAAATGAACAAAAAAATCTTTACTCTTAATAGCAGAGATGAAATACAGACTTGCAATGTTGCATACAAAAAACCAAACAGTGCATGAAACTTACATAGTCTTTGTAAGTAACACAAAATAAGGCATCTTCATCTTAAGTCAAATGAGAAAGCAAAACATAAACCTTGAGCAAACAGCTATTCCACCATAGCGTCCTTTAGAGAAGCATAAGTATTTGTTGTGAACCGCTGTGAGTCGCCTTCGGGCTGAAAACAGCGGTATATAAGTAAGGTAAATAAATAAAAATAAATAACGGCTTCTCTCCAACCTGCTCCTCAGAGCAGAGCCTTTGAGCATAGATCTCCTCAGAGAAAAAGCTCTCCAGGACTGTATTCTAAAAACCCATACAGTTATGTATTTATTTACGACATTTATATGCCGCCCTTCTCACCCCGAAGGGACTCAGAGAGGCTTACAAGTAAAAAGTAAATACAATATATTATATTACTAGCCATCCCTTGCCACGCGTTGCCTATTGGGTGTGGTCCAAGATTGCTGGTTAACCTACATTACCGGCTACACATAATAATTACCATCATAAGGCTTTTCTTCAACACACACACACACACTTGGTCCTGCTACAACTTACTGTAATATAACCAATACAAAGCTGTACATTTGTAGTCTTTTGTAGGATGGCAAGGACTCAAAGTTTCCCATTAAATGTCATTATTTGGGAAAGTAATCTCAAAATGTTTATACAGGTATGCCACTTCATTTAATGAAAGCTTTTTGTGTCCTTTGTAGGCCCTTTAGACACTGTCCTATATCCCAGGATCTGATCCCATATTATATTCTTATTCCAGACTATCTGGTAGTGTAGACTCATATAACCCAGTTCAAAGCAGATAACCTGGGATCACATCTTGGGATATCAAGCAACATAGATTCAGCTTTAGAATCTCTAGGAAGGAGAGTACAGTCTCAGAATTCAGGAGGAAGTCTGTTATCTGCTGATCTTAAAACCACCTGGCACCATTTCTTCCCTCTTTAATGATCAGAGGTCACTAAGCTCCATTACTGTCCTACCAGGCTTCATTTCCCACTCTGGGAGGCATTACACCTGAGGTCATCAAGAGTCCTGGCACCTTAGATCAGGGTGAGCAAACCTTTTGACCCTCTTTTCCATACGTGATGCCGACTCATGCCTTTGGGCATAGAAATAAATCTTAACAATTCTCCTTCCTTGTTGGGAGGGAGTAGAAACCCTTTTTCACAAGAAGCAAATAAGGGATCTCTGTGGGAAAGGATGAAGAGAAGACTCCCTATTCACTTTTCGAAATATCTGCATGAAATCAATACCCAAGAAAGAAAGACAGACAGCAAAGGGATCTGACCACACAAAGGAAGCTGTACTTTAGGGGATTTTGAGGCCTTAGTTTGCACTGCAGTTTCAGACATACAAACATAATATTCTTTTATACTGGCAACATGCAGTGAGAAATGCAAATTTTAGCAAATCGGAAATATACTGTCTCATAGAAACAATTGGGCATATGTGAAGAGTTCTTAAATGGAAAATATTTATAAGTTGCACAAAACACAAGGTACTTGTTTACATGACCGAAAATTTTACACTTCTATTTCTTCTTTAATGCTCCTACCTCTCCAGCTGTTTTGAAATAATTGTTATAAACAAAAAATACGTGGCTATGAAAATTAGAAATACATTGCTGACTATGTACTCTGCATCATATAACTGTCAAGATAATCTGGCTCATAAAACAGGATTTTCCATATATAAAGCTACATGAAAAAGTGATCTCTGTCATTACATCTCAATTCCAAACTAGGGAAGGACCCTACTGATGGTGCAGTAGAGGTGGAGAACACTTTGAATAGGTTCTAGATATACCTGTTGACACAAACACATAAACACGTGTGCATCACTTGCACAGGTCTACACAGTATACACACAAATCATTCATCCACTCTGTCATTCACTCACACATACTCTTCGCTCTGACATGTGCCGCATATTTATTATGCTACTCATACAGAGACACATTAATTTAAATGCATGCTTACATTACATCACCCGCACTAGAAGGGGTCTTCTATGCTGAAGATGAAGCTTTCCCTCCCTGAAACACACATGCAAAATACAAACAGGACAAGGAGAAAAGGAATAATTTTGTGATCCCTTCATGTTTTCCATGGTCACTTTCCCAACACAAAGGGAAAAGGGAGTTTAAGATACGTATCTTCATGGCCTCTAATGGCCATTTTCAGACAATAGGCTTGAAGCCCTTTTATTTTTAACTAAAAAATATCTTAGATCCTAAGGGCCCATCCAGACAGGGCCCAAAATGCACAAGCTCTCACCCTTTTACCGAAGGAGTCTAAACAGTTGCTTTGTTACAAATTATTTAAATACTCCATTAGACCCGGGTCTAATGGAGTAAGGGCCCTGTGGGGACTGACCCCTGGATAGTCCTGGAATAATAATAATAATAATAATAATAATAATAATAATAACTTATTTATTTATTTATATTCCGCTCTATCTTCCCAAAAGAACTCAGGGTGGAGTCCAAACATAAAAGGCAAACATTCAATGCCCGAATACAACAACAATACATCCATACTAACAAAATTTAAGCACCCCAACATATAAACATGAATTATAACTCAACAACTAAAATTATAAATAAATAAATAAGAAGACGCACAGCCTGTTATAACAGACATAAGACAAAACATCAAACATCGAAGGGAAACAATAATTTCCCATTTCCTTGGGGCAGATCGATTAATCTACAATAATGGATCTACTGAGAGGTCAGTCTGCACAGTCCAATTTGCTTCTTCAGGCCGCATGGGTCCGGAGAAGCAAAGAAGGAATTCACCCCCTCCCCAGATCACCTGCTAAAACCTTTAAAATAAAATAAAAACTTAAAAGGCCATCATTATGCCTCTCTGGAGGCTTCCTGGAACATGCCAATCTTGTGCTAGAAGTTGGGGGAAATTGCTCCTGTCCCCCCCCCCCCCCCCCACTTCCTGGCACAACATTGGTAAGTGCCAGGAAGCCTACAGAGGCATAATGGTGCCCTGTAAGTTTTTATGTTATTTTAAAGGTTTTAGGGTGGAATTTGAGTTGTCTCCATTCCAGAGCGATAATTACGGGGACAACCCAAAGGATGGGGACAACCCACAAGAAATCCCACTTCTTTTGGGCACCCATGGGGACAAAAAGTAACCCATTTTCACCCAAAAATAATGGATGCCTGGAAGTGCCCTAAATTAGTCTGGAGAATTGGAGTGACTCTGACAACTGTTCTCCTAAGGAGAACAGTTGAGGCTTTTCCCCTTCAGTATCCTACCAGCTCCCAGTGAGATCCTAACACAAAACAGACTACCAAGCAATGTTTCAAATTGGGGTTCTGCTAGCTGTAAATTACTGCTAGGTTTCTGCAGTAGATCTGCTATTGCACTCATATTCACCCTTCTTCAACACCAGGACCTATTTTTAAGTAGTTAGCATGAACAGGAGGAAGTTCAGTGTCCTATTTGCCTGGCAATGAATTTTTTGTCTGGCAATTCCAATCGTTCCTGACTTTTGGGTTATGGTAACTGAAGCTGGTGTGATTTGTACAAAACAACTGGAGAAATGCTTTTTCGGGATTAGAGTGAAAGTATATAGTTAAAGATACTGGGTTGCTAACTAGCTCAGGTGGGGAAGGGGAGAATAAATTTGCTGGGTTTTCTTCTCTTTTGCTTCTGGAAACTTTTTATAGAAAAAAAATGAAGGCCAAGCTTGTTTCCCCTCAGTCTATTCTTATTCCCCAAACACCCTGGGTGAAGAAACGGCTTTTGTGCTGGGCTTCAACTCCAACTCCACACTAATCTTTTATTTATTAACAATTTTTAATTTTCTTTCTTGGGCCTGAAGGTTCTCAGAGCAGCTGCCAAACACCGAAAAGCACAACCAGCCGTGTGTAAAAAACATAAAAAATAAATGTGAGGAGTCAAATATGGTAGTACCAAGAAACACTGAAATGCAATTTATAAACTTGAAATGCAATTTATAAACTCAGAAAAGCCTGCTCAGATGAAAATATCTTAAACTGGTACAGATGACATTAGAGTCAGTGCTATGTGAAGTCTCCAGGGGAAGGACATTCTAAGTTCAAGGCGCCACTGCTGAAAAGGCCCTGGGCCTTCTACACTGAAACTACAGTATACTGCAACTAGGAACCAGTTCGAAAAGAACTGATTTCGCTGTTTGGGTGATCAGATTGCTATGCCTTGAACCAGTTTGAGACCAGGAAGGTGATTACATTTACCATGGAAACTGACTACAAACCACTTCACAGGGTTTTTTTCTCATTTACT